GGTTGGCAGTCTGGGATTCCCTGTGAAGTTTACGTGGTGGAAGAACAGAAGAAAGTAGGAAGGGAAAAAATTATGACTTTTATAGTATTTACTGCTCACATCCTTTCCAAATTTTGTTCCTATGTAAGTAGTAAAATCAAGTTATCATTCCCTTGCCCGCTTTAGATACTAGAAATGTCTTTACCATTCTTCACCTACCTCATAACTTTGTCTATGTTATTCTTTCCATCATTACTTTCCAAGAGGAATCCTCAGTAAATAAACTGGACTATTTTCTACAGAAGAAAACACTAAAAGGAACAGTCAAGAAATTCAGAAGAAAAGAGCCCTCCCTGCAGTTAAATTTCCAATGGTCATCATTGGTGCATCTCTTGCTCAGGAAACCAAAATTAAAGTTATTAACCCTGTGCTTTTGTGATATCAAGAAGGCTTTCTCCCTGGGTGCCAAATATTCTTTTGCATTTTTTATAATATTTTAATATTATCCTTCACATTGAAAATCATTATACCAAATTTATATAGGAAGGCAGCTCAGTGTCCTATGTGACAGTTTTCAGCAAACTATCATGAATCAGGGGTTGGTTAGCTTTTCTATAAAAGATCAGATAATAAATATTTTAGGTTTGGGGAGGGGGCTATACTGTGTCTGTTGCAACAACCCCAAATTTCTACTGCAGCCATGTAGAAGTCAACATAGAAAAAATGCAGGCAAAAGAGAATGACTATGATTTATGTCACGAAGCATTATATTTACTTTAATTTTTAAAAAACAGACTTTATTTTCTAAAGAAGTTTTAGGCTCACAGACAACTTGAGCAGAAAGTACAAAAAGTTCTCATGTACTTCCTGCCTGTCCCCAGCCCTCACACTATCTACATCCCACACAGAATAGTACAGTTGGTTTGTTCCAATCAATGAACGTCACCCAAAGTTCATAGTCTACATGAGGGTTCACTCTTGTTGTGTGGCCTATGGGTGTTGAAAAATGTACAATGGCATATGTCCTCCATTATCGTGTCATATAGACCAGTTTCACTATATAGAATTGTTTTGCCAAAGTTCATGTATTAAATCCTAATACCCAATTAATAATATTTTGAAGTGGAAGCTTTGGGAGGTGGTTAGATTATGATGGTTGAACTTTTCATGAATGGTATTAGTGTCCATATAAAAGAAACCCCAGAGAAGTCCCTGGCTCTCTTCTACCATGTGAAGACATAGCAAGAGAGCTGCTTACAAACCTGCTGTTTATAAGCAGGTTCTCACCAGATACCAGTTCTGCCAGAGGCTTGATTTTGGGCTTCATAGCCTCCAGAAATATAAGAAATAAATCCTGCTGTTTTTAAGTCACCCAGTTTATGCTATTTTGTTTTAACAACCCAAAAGGATGAAGACACTGCCCTATTCATCCTCTATACTCTAGTCATTCCTTGCTCTCCCCCAAACCCTGGCAAGCACTGTTCCCTTAGCTTTGCCTTTTCCAGAATGCCCTACAGCTAGAATCATACTTTCAGATTAGTTTCTTTCACCTAGTCATTTCCATTCACTGACTTAGTTAGTATTGCTCTGTATCCTCAGCATCATTTGGCGATGTTGTTGTTTAGGGTTTTGGTCATTTTGTTAAGTGCATACCAGTAACTCACTGTTTTTTAATCTCAGTTCCCTAATGATATGCGATGTTGAACGCCCTTTCCTATGCTTGTTTGCTACCTGTATAATTTCCTTGATGAGGTATCTGTTAAGCTGTTTGAAACCTTCTTTTATTAAGATTTTATTTATTTAGCATAAAAGACCTGGGATGCAGTCCAGAGGTTCAGGGGAGGAGAGGTGGGGGGTGGGGGTCAGCAGTACTGTTGGTGAAAGGGTTCACCAGAGACAGAGTGGGGAGCAGAACAAGCCTATCTACTGAAATGCACTGCTTTTAGGGGAGCAGTGTACAAGGCAGGAGAGGTCTGCTGCACCATGGGGTCTAGCTCTCTGGCCCTGGGTTGAACTCAGGCAGTAGTGGTGATAAACTTAAACCCTAGAACACTGGATTTGGTTTACATATTATTGACTTTAAAATTTTTTTTGTATATCTTGTACAACTCCCATTCTCAGATATATCTTTTGCAAATGCTTTTTCCCAGTCTGTGGCAAGTCTCTTCATTCTCTTGATGGTGGATTTGCAGGCAGAAATTCTTATTTTAAGAATTTAGGTCTAGGGCTCTCCCTGGTGTCACAATGGGTTCAAGCACAGCGCTATGAAGCCACTGCAGCATGAATTCTATCCCCGGCCAGGGAGATGACTCACATGGCACAGCAGACCTCTCCTTACCGGCTCACTGCTCCCCTCAGGGGTGTATTTCAGTCAATCCACCTGTTCTGCTCCCCACTCTGTCTCTTGTAAATCCTCTCAACTTCCCCATCCACACCTCTGGCCTATACCCTAATTCTATATGCATAAATAAATCTTATTAAAAAAAAGAATTAAGTTCTAACTTAAACTTTTCTTTTTGCTTTATGTCTTTAATGTATCTAGAAAGTCACTGCCACCCTAAAGTGATATAAATTTCCTATGTCCTCTTCCGGGAATCTTGCTTTATATATATATATATATAATGATCCATTTTGAATTAATTTTTGTGGGGTGTAAGATTGATGTCTAGTTTGACCTATTGACAGATAGAAATTTCTCCTGGTAGGACTTGAACATTCAAAATTTTAACAAACTCTCCCAATGATTCTTATGCCCACAAACTTGAGAATTATTATGGCGGGAACAGGGGGCAGAGAATTTAACTTCAATAAATGGGCCTCACTAACAAAAGGCCAGCCCTGACCTTGTCTTTGATCCTCCATACCAGAAGCCTGGGAGAAAAAATATCTTTCATTCACTGTTCTTAAAACTACCTTGACATTCTTTTTTTTTTTTTAATATTTATTTATTTATGCATACAAGAAATGGGTTCAGGCCAGAGATGTGGAGGGGAGGTGAGAGGATTCACCAGAAAAAGAGTGAGGAGCAGAATAGGCAGATGTACTGAAACACACTGCTGAGGGGAGCAGCAGATGAGTCAAGAGAGGTCTGCTGTGCCATGTGGGTCACCTACCTGTCTGGGGATAGAACTCATGCTGCAATAGCTGCAAATAGCTTCACAGTGCTGTGCTTTAACCTGTTGTATCACCTTACCTTGACATTCTTTAATGTACATGCATACGCAAAAAGTGAATGTTGGAATAACTAATCTATAATGTATCTGTCTATTCAAGCCATTGTACAAGTTTGGGGTAGTTAAAACAAAAAAACAACTACTGTTTCTTATAAGAAATAGTGAAGGCATTCTCTCATGGCCTCATTACTAAAAACTAGGCCTTAAAATTTATCAGGGACTCCTGTCACAATAAGACACTTGGAGAAGCAGGACAGCACTGTGAAGGTGCCAAGCCACTGGCTGTAATTACACAGCAGAGATATTATGACCTGAGGATGAAGCCAAACCTCAGGTCCAGCACTGGGTCAGTAGTTTCATGTTTCCACTGAAGTCTTATTGTTAGTCCAAAAATCTCACAAGGAGTAAAGTATTTGTCAGATAGTAAACATGGCTTCAAAATTCACATTTACTAAATAGTAAAAATGACTGTGCTGCAAAAATAACTAACAAAACATTCTCACCTAAAGATTTCAATTTTTCATTTTCAGAAAGCCACAGGTAGTACAAAAATAAGTTACATGTGTTCTAAGACCTCATACTCAATAACCAGAGTGATTATGATCATTATTATGATTAGTAAGTGTTCAGTGTCTCCAGACAATATTCACTTAGTCCTCAAAAATAAAAACAAATCCATTTCCTTTAAAAGGAAAGTTTGCTTTGAAGAAAACTTTATTATACTTCATTGAATCCCTTTATATTTCAATAGAAATGAAGTCACAGAATAGTATATAAAATAAACATTCACATTGTAAAAATCCATGCAACTTCCAATCAGTGATTTGCAAGAAGTAGAAATTGTCTCTGGAATCTTTTTAATGTATACATTTCCCATTCAGTAACAAAAAGGTTTTAATTTAATTGTTTTCCAAAATGGTTTAATGTTAGCAGGCCCCTCTTTGTGAAACCACAGTCACTGACCCCAAAACACCACTCGGGATTGAACACATATTTGACCTATGCTTTGATTTTCAGACATGTATAAGATACTCTTTCAACTTTGTACTTTAACCCTGGAGGTGAGAAAACTTGTAAATAAATACTAAAAACAAAAATAAATTCCCAGCAGAGCTAAGAGCAGCATCAGCTAATGATTGTCCTCTAGAACCAGATATCAAACTACTAGTTGGTAATGGTTGTTTCTTACTCTGTCCTTTAAGAGAAAACCTTAAAATGCAATGACTAATGGAGCTACAGCACCCATCCTGCCTCTTAGGAATGGTCCCCGGAAAACTGTCCAGGCCAAGGCTAGTGAGTGATCTGAAATCACTGTCCAACCACTGTTTAACATGATGACACAATCTACACAATCAGAATAACAAGAGTGTAAGACCAGGAATCAAGAGTGGCATAGCGAATACATTCTAAAGCTATTACAAAATGAGCAAGAACAAACAAAAATTCAATAGCTTGCCTCATGAGTTAGTTTAAAAAACATAAAACCACAGATATTGACTATCCTTTTAAAAATATAAACATAAGTCTTGCCATCAATTACAGCCATCAATTTGTTCAAAATATCAATAACAGCCTTTAAATATACTACACCTAATGTTAAAGTATCCATTGTCTTCCAACTCAGGTACATGTTATATTTTCCTCTAGGGCAAATATAATCCTGATGGCCAGAGGTGTGAGGGTTGGGGGTGGTGGTGAGAGGATTCACCAGAGACAGAGTGGGGAGCAGAACAGGCAGATTGACTGAAATACACTGCTGGGGGGAGCAGTGTACAAGGCAGGAGGGGTCTGTTGCACCATGTGGGCCACCTCCCTGGCTGGGGATCGAACTCATGCTGCAAGTAGATTCAGATAGCTTCACAGTGCTGTGCTCCAACCTGTTGCATCACCAGGGAGAGCCCTGAGAGTTACTTTTTACAACAACAGAATATGGATACTGAAGGGTCATCTTCTAATCTGAATTTTCCAGAAATGGGTAGATCTTTGCATTCTGATATAAATGTACGTAGTTCAGTCTCTGGGAAGCCATCTTGTTGATAATGCTATACAGAAGAATAAAATAACTCTCATTAATGAAAGCTCTTGAAAATGTTTTATTTCAAATTCAAAATGTATCATATGACAGGGAGAGTGGATCTTTCTAGAAGAATAGTTTAGTCACTTTCAAGAATTTTCAGAGAGACAGTCTTCTCTGGAGTCACTCTTAGGTTCAATTAAGGAAGTTGGAAGTTAGATCTGGGCTTCTGCAGCGCCCTCCTGGGCCCTTTTGGATTTAATTTAACTCAAAATGGGTCTGTTGAGACCCTTTCCAGGGAGAATCCAGTCAGACGTGTCTCAAATCTGAAAAAGTATTACCATTCTGCTGTGGAGCCTCATAACTTTCAAGGTCAGTAGAAGCAGACACCTTGAGTGAAACACAGTTCAGGACATAAGAAGCTTAGAGGATGTAGATTAACAGTGGTGGTGAAGACCTTAGCACAGCCCTGAGCTGGCTTGTTATCTGGACAAAGATCTGAATGCTACAAGGGCATTTCCTAGTCTTCAATACTCTTTTGAAATCACCTGAACAGACAGATTTTGTGTAATGGCTTCCTATCACTTTAGGGCATAAGATCTCTGGCATGTACGCTGGCTAGAAATGATCAGAAAGCTTAACTTGACCATTTCGCAAGTTCTCTGAGACCATGAAAAGAGATTATCATCTAAAATATGAATCTCAGACCAGAAGTTGTCATTCATCGGCATTGAGAGAAATGTCAGTTCATTCATTCTTACTGGTCTTTGATGTCACCTTTGAAGAACCCAGAGTTCTTGCAGGTGAAATTGAAGGCAGTAAAGTTCTAGAGCACCGGAGGGAGGAACTTGGACAGGTACAACTACATTTTTTTCCCCCAGTCTCCTTGGTGACTCAAAGCACATATCTACTAAGCAATTAATTGCTGAGGACAAGCAGTTCCTGAAATCTGACTCAGTAAAATAAAGTCATAGTCCTGGCTTCATGAGCAAGGTAGTCTTAATTATCGACTCATAACCCATCAGCTCCTAACAGTCTTTTCTTTCTCCCTGGTCCAGTTCCCTCCTAACAGTCTTTTCATCATCTCATATCCAGAACAAAGTCTCCAAGTGGAAATATCTATACCAACAGTACACCTAGTAGGATAGGATATTAGAAATTAAATTATTTCAAAGTGTTCAAATCGATTTTTTTGAAATATCCCATGTAAATTACAATATGAATAAGAATAGCTTTTCAACCCATGTTCTAACTATATAAAATCCTGTCTCGCTAGTACTTGACACATCAATCCTTTCACTGTTCTGGAAAGCGGGCCAGTTAGTACCATACAGGACCTTGCAAAGAGCAGTTGAGCTCAGCACACTCCAAGTGAAGTTGTCAGTTTTTCTTTAAAAAATTGGAATTTTAAAAGTTCTTCACAAAATTTTGGCTTTCTGAACTACCATTTGTTTCACTCACACTATATCTTTTAATTCTAATAATGGATTAATAAGCTTACTTGAAAAAGCACAATTACTTGTAGAGCAATCTTTTAACATCCTAGAAATTCTATTTTTCCTGCATTTCTGTTTTTTAGTATCCAAAATTGAAGTCCATCTACTCTACCCTGAAGAAATCAAAATTTCCATTGAGTCCCTTCCCCCTAAGACACTACATTTTATTGCCACTCTACAAGGTCTGGAAAAATGTTGTGCTTGTGTCTGGCTCTTGATGAACCTACCTTAATTGTTTCATATGTATCTGTGATCAGTGCAATAAAAAGACTTAAAATCATATATATAAAGAGGCTGATGAATGAGTAGAGGTACATTCTGCTAAACAGCCAAACCAGGTAACTTTTTTGCTGCATTTTTGCAAATGTGGCAAACATATCATCTCCATTTATCAGAGAGAAAAGGCACTCAGAGACCATGTTCAGAGAACGAAACTGGGAAAAGAAAAAGAAAAAGAGCATTATTATTCTACTTTCCTTCCTAATGGAAAATTCCTTCTTGACACTATTAAAAATAATGGGACCAGGGTCCTCCCTGAAGGCCTAGGTGTTAAGTTTCAGCACCATCACGCTATCATCACTGTGGTCTGAGTTCGATCCCCAGACAGCAGACAGGGAGCTCACCCACATATGGTACAGCAGACCTCTCCAGTCATGTACACTGCTCCCCTTGGCAATGTTTCAGTAAAATCTGCCTATTCTAGCCCTCTGTGGTGGTGCAGTGGGTTAAAGCACAGCACTAAGAAGCTAAAGCCACTTCAGCATGAGTTCGATCTGCTCCCGAGGTGACCACATGGCGCGACAGACCTCTCTTGACCCACCTGCTGCTCCCCTAAGCAGTGTACTTCGTTGATCTGCCTGTTCTGCTCCCCACTCTGTCTCTGGTGAATCTTTCAATGCACCTGCGCCTCTGGCCTGCACCCCAGTTCTGTATACATAAATAAAAAAATCTTAAAAAAAAATCTGCCTCTTCTTTTCCTTACTCTGTCTCTAGTGAATCCTCTCACACTCCACACCTGACCTACACCCTAGTTTTTCTATGCATAAATAAATCTTTAAAAAATATTAACAGGACCATATATCACGAATTACCTTTTCAAACAAATAACCTGAAGTAATTACAAGTGGATGCTTTGTAAGACACATAATGTGTAAACTTACTATGCTTCCTGGGACAAGCAGCCCTTTCTGGAAGCTCCTCTTGCCTGAAGCAGGCTGAACAAGGGCAGAAGAGGCTGATCGGCAACCTCAGTGCTCCTCCATGTCAGGCTTTACCCTTCCCTTTACCTTGATGTAAAGTGATCCTTGTAATGCTTTTGCAGAGAAATGGAGATCCCAACCATGCCCACTCATGCTTCTTACTTCAAAGTTCACCCCATTAAAGAAAATGGTATTATCGTAAAGGCTATAATTGTGTTAACAAAAGCTTCAAATATTCCTACAAGTTTCTCCCTGTACTACTTTGGAAATGAGGTCACATGTCAAGAAGGCTTACCTAAATAGCCTACCTAATATATAGTGATGAATTGAACAGATTAAACTTGACTTCAGGGGTGATAAAAAGGACTTACCTGACATACTCCACAAAGAGTTGAATTAATCATCCTCTTAAGTTGCTCACAACTTAACAGTTCATAAGCTTGGTAATAGTATACTACCCTGTACATCTTAAGTTACAAAATAAAAGGAGCTCATTTTATTTATTTATTTAAAGATTTATTTATTTATGCATACATAACTGGGGTACAGGCCAGAGGTGATGGAAGTGGGGAGGTGAGAGGATTCACCAGAAACAGAGTGGGCAGCGAACAGGCAGACTGATGAAGTACATTGCAGAGGGGAGCAGTGGGTGGGTAAGGAGAGTTCTGCCGTGCCACGTGTATCACCTCTGGGGCGGGCGAACTCATGCTTAAGTGGCTGACACTAGCTTTGTAGGGCTGTACTTTAACCCGCTGTGCCAGCAGGGAGGGCCCAAGGAGCTCATTTTAAAAGGATACTAAGTCATTGGTACCATTCTAAGAGTTTAATAGTAACAGCAAAAAATTGCTTTCCCGTACCTTATCATGGTAGGGCCCCAACACAATCCATCCACAGAAGCAATAGCCTAAATAGATCATAGCTGCGCAGCAGCAGAACCTGATGACATTGGGCAGTGCTGCCTGAAGGGTCAGAATGAGGAGCTGGGGAAGCAAGAGAGGTCATTAGAATCCCAAAGAGTTGAATTAATCATCCTCTTAAGTTGCAGTGAAACACTTAGAGAGACATATCAACAGCATGGACAGCCATGGAATTCCTTACATTGTACTTCTGAAAGAAACCGAGGTATCGGATGACTCCAAGCCACACCAGCATGGTAGAAGTGCCAAGGAGTATGCTGCAGACATCATAACTTGTTAGACTCTAAAACAGAGTGGGGGGTGGGGGTGGAGGGTCAGATTATGTTGCAGAAACAAACTTGAGGAAAAAATAATTGTTGGCTAACTATGAGGCACTGTTCTAGTTGCTAAGGATGAGCAGTAAACACCCCTGGTGGCACAAGGGGTTAAAGCACAGCACTATGAAGCTACTGCAGCCACTGCAGCCCGCACGAGTTTGATCCCCGGCCCAAGAGGTGACCCACATGGCACAGCAGACCTCTCCTACCTCATCTGCTGCTCCCCTCAGCAGTGTACTTAAGTCAATCTGCCTGTCCTGCTCCCCACTCTGTCTCTGGTGAATCCTCTCACCCCCGTAACTCTGGCCTGTACCCCAGTTCTTAAATAAATCTTTCAAAAAAACCAGACAAACATCCTGCCTTTGTGGGACTTACATTCTAGTGATGGGGGCGAAGAGTGGGAGCAGTAAATCAATAAAACTCCTGGTGCATGAGCTGATGGTAAATGCTAAAGAGAAAAGTCAAGAGAGGGATTAAGGAATGGGTGTGTTGATGTGTTTGAAATAATCAGAAAAGGAGGTATTTGAGGAAAGACCTGAAGGAAATGAGGAGACATGCCAAGCAAAAACTTAGAGGAAAATATTTCTAGGTGCAGGAACCAGCTAGAAGTAGGTCCCGGAGGAAGACATCTGGCAAAATAGTGAGTCTGGCTGGAGTGAGTGAAGGGGAGAGGCAAGAAATAGAGGCGAGGGGCAGGTAGTATAGGGTAATTAAATAATGTTGCCTCTTACTCTGAATAGGTTGGAAGAATTGGGAGCACTGAACAATTCTATGTTTGGCTGCTATGGTGAGAGTAGATTGTTGGAAGAGGGACATTTTTATTTTACTGCAATAAAATAGGCAAGAAATGATGGTGAGTTGGGCCAAGCTGGTAGTGGTGAAGTGATGAAGTGATTTTCGAGAGTAGACCAATAGCATTTCCCCTTGAATTAGAAGTGGTTGAGAGGAATTAGTGAAATAGATTTGTGATTAACTGATTAAGGTTAAAAAAAAACCATAGAGAAGCAGGTTTGGACTGTGAGGATGGAGGTTTTCAGAGCTATGTTAAATTTGAGAGGTCATGTAGATATCCAGGAAAAGACATTTGATTATTTGAGACTGGAGTTCAGCGAAGAATGCCGAGCTGAAGATACAAATTCAGGAATCATGGGCAAAATGATACTACTTAAAACCATGGATCGGATAAGGTCACCATGACAGTGGCAGAAAGAGGTGTTGGAACACATCAACTTGAGGCCCTGTCACTTTAATACATCTGTGAGAGGAAAGGGAACCAATAAAGGAAATTCAGAAGACCAGTGTCTTAAGAAGAAAACTAGGTGAGTGACAGGACAGTGAAAAGCTGAATCAACAGAGTGGAACTGCTAGGAGTGTTAAGAAGAGCCAAAAGATATGATTAATGATTAATTATTGGGGTTAGCAACAAGGAGGTGTCAGAAAAGAATACTTTCTATGGAGGGAAGCCTGAGTAAACAGATAGGAGAATGGGAGAAACAGAATCAGGAAGATTAACTACTTTTTTTTTTAAGATTTATTTATTTATGCATACAAGAACTGGAGTACAGGCCAGAGGCGTCAGGGGTGGGGGTGGAGTAGGGGTGAGAGGATTCACAAGAGACAGAGTGGGTCACAGAACAAGCAGATTGACTTAAGTACACTGCTGGGGGGAGCAGAGGGTGAGACAGGAGAGGTCTGCTGTGTCATGTGGGTCAGCTCCCTGGTCAGGGATAGAACTCATGCTGCAGTGGCTGTGGATAGCCTCATAGTATAGTGCTTTATCCCCTTGCTCCACCAGGGAGGCTCCAAGATTAACTACTCTTTTGAGACCTTTTGCTATTTAAAGGGGAGTGGAGCAATAGGAAAGTAGCTGAAGGGAGAAACTGGTTGAGAGTTGGTCTTTTTAGAAAGGATGAAAAAAACTATGCTAATGGAAATGAGATGATAATGATAAGCCGCAAAGAAACAGTGTGGACACTGGTGCTGGCAGGTAGATAAAAGAAGTGCAAGTTTGTGAATGTTCAACTTTTTCAATTGTTTTGTGCAACAAGAAGTAAGATCATCAGTTGAAAGGGAGGATGGGACAGCAGTGTCAGAGGTTTCGGGAAAGACAAAAACACATGACTCGACAAGAGAGTCACATTTATATAAGACAAGGGATGTGAATGGTCTAGAAAAAAGTGGAGAAACTGTTGGAGCCACTAAGTTCTCACTAAAGTAGTTGAGGGTGGTAAAAATTAAAGATGTACCATAGATCATGCCTTCTCTTGTTTACCCTGAAGTTAACCCTCTATTTCATTTTTTTTAAAAAAAGATTTTATTTATTTGTGCATATAAGAATTAGGGAGTAGGCCAGAGGTGCAGTGGGTGAGAGGATTCCCCAGAGACAGAGTGAGGAGCCACACAGGCAGAGCTACTGAAATACACTGCTGAGGGGTCACCTCTCTGGCTTGAGATTAAATTCATGCTGCAGTGGCTGCTGATAACGTCATAGTGCTGAGACCTAACCTCTTGTGCCTAACCCTCTATTTCTATGGCATATGTTACAGCTCAGATATGATAGCAGCTGCTTAATGTCAACCTAACCCCATTATTAACTCCCAGGCACACGTTTGAGCTGTATTCCCAGAGTCCCTGGATGTTATACGTGACTAAATCATCTCTAGTGGGATATGTACTGGAAGGACATTGGTCACCAGAGCCAATGCTATACAACTGTGAGAGAACTCTCAACATAGGATACTTTTCCCTTCCCATGGGCTGCAATCTGTGCAGTGGCCCAAAAACATCATGCGGTCCAGACAACGACTGGCAGAGAAACAAGATGGATCCCTGAATGACTGTGGAATTGAGTGAATGGATGAGCCTCAAACCCTCCTGATGGGGGATACAATATTTGAAAAAAAAAAAAAATCATTCTACTGAGTCTCACATTCTTGAAAGATAAACTGCCATATACTTATCTGATATTAATGATAGCATAACTAGAAAAAAACTTACCTTCGCTTGAATTTCCATCTTCAGAATTGATCCAATGATTGTCAATATATCACTAATAATAATCATAATGTACCATCCATTGACAAATTCCATTCGATCAGAAACAGAAACTTCCTTCTTATAGTGGAGGAAGAAAAAATTGACAAATTCCTTCATGGAGAAAAGGGAAGGCATAGTGAATTTCTCTGTCAAATCAAAGTACCCACACATTTCTAGAAAGCAGCAACCCCTACCCTACCTGCTGAAGCTGAAGTCCTCTAATCACAGATCGAAGGCAGAGGATTAATGAAGCCAAGCATGTCAGACTAACAAAGGCATCAAAGATCATCATGTAATGAGTATTCTTCTGAACTGGAAGGAAAGAGTTCAATGTAGGAGCACATTAATATGGGAGCTTCTAATTTTTGTTTTTAGTCTTATTTATTTTAATTGCCACACTGCATTATAAATGAACAATATCTTTAAGGACACTCGGACTGTAATCTCTTTTTCCCACTACACACAATCCTACAAATCCTCTGTGCGCACAAGTGCAAATGATTCTCTAGGTAAGCAAGTATCTACAGGTGGGGTTGATGGGTGACGACAGATATATTTCTCCAAACCACAATTCTAGGAATTGCTCTCCAAAGACATTTTGCTTGTTAACATAGCTTCACATCATCTCTGCCACTGGCTATGAGTGATCTTTAGTTTTTGCCACTCAAAAGAACAAATTATCATTCCCACAGACTTGAAATGCCATCTTTATCATGTATCAAATTACTATATGTATTCAAGTTCCACATCTTACCTTTTTAATGCTTTTGTGTTTTAATGCCTACACCAAAGTCCTCTTATATTACTTTTTTGAAAAATTTGCTAGCTATTCCTGCTTACTTGCCTTTTAATATATTCCTTAAAATCAGATTGTCAAGTTACACTAAAAATCCTATTGATAATTGGGAGAGAGGGGATCATGTTAAATTTATTAATTAATTTAAGGAAAATTGACATATTCAAGATGTTGAGTCTCTTGTTCAAAACCCTGTGTCTTTTCATCGATTCAATCTAAGCTTCAGAAATATTTTAAATTATATGTGATTCTTCACACTCCTTTTTAGAAGAATTTTGAGTAATTCAAGCTCTTCCCACAAAGAGGACACAGAGATAAAAAGTCCTGATAAATTCTTACTGTCAGTTTTTAATTAAAGTTAAAAGTCCTTTGTTAAAAGAGAACCATGGCAACCATCAATCAAAAAACTTCAATTATTAGCTTGTGGTCTTCCTTTCTTAATACCATCAGCCTAAATATCTTCTTAAAATATACCAACTATAAAGTATTGTGTTGTTGGAAAAATTGTATTTTTTCTATGATTTCCAGCAAAAAATGCATCATGACTTTTCTGACAACCCAATATTTAAGTGTTCACTCTACAGCTGGTGTTTTTCTAGATTCTGAGGTCACAGTGGAGATCAAGGTAGATAAGACCCTGTTATCATGGAACTTCAACTTCAGTGAAACAAGCAAAGAAATAAATAAGTAAATGAACCAAACAGTTTCAGACAGGAGTAAATGACTAGAAGTAAAGAAGAGATAATAGCCAGTCAAATGCATTCTTTGCCAACCAAAGTTTAAGCACTTTCTCGGTACTGCCTCATTTGATCCTCACACTTACCTGGGAGGTAGGCGTGGCTATCCTCATTGTGCCGGTGAGAAAGTTGAGCCATGCGAATTACAGAATTTGTTCAGGTTACCAAGTCAGGAGCAACAAAATAGGATTCAAACTTGTGTTGACTGTTCCCAGCACTGTGGTCTCTATATTAATGTTCCCCAGCATGTCTTGGGAGTTTGTTAGAATTGTACATTCTCCTGTCCTGCTCTAGACCTTCTCCAAGAGCAGTGAATCATGGCTGTCTATGAAGAATGTTGGTGAATTGGAAAAGTGAGCACTTTTATACTGCCTCACCAAGGAGGCAGTGGGTTTCAGCTGAGATCTGAGGCATCCAGGCAAAGATCTTGGAAAACTACAAGAAGGCACAGGCCAGAATGCCTGGAGCAAGGTGAGGGGGTGGCAGACAGCTCAGGGCCAGATGCTCTGCAGCATAGCTGCTCTCTATTCAATAATTAGACTGCTCTATGCTGACAAAAATATAAAGCATTAAGACAAGTTCTGTGAGGAAGTATTCCATAATGTTAGCCTCAGGCACCCAATTGTTATGCCAGTGTCTAAATCTACTTTAGAAAAACTGGAAAACCAAGAAACAAACCTTTGAGAGAAAGCCTATGTGCCAGAAACTTCTACAAGCTCTCCGTTTCCCTTTTCTAAATTAATGGAGATGTAGTACCACAGCATATAACAGGTTTGTGTTTTAAAGAAGAAATTATGTAATTTAAATAAATGTTTGTGATTTGGGCCCTTCCTGGTGGCCCAACAGGTTAGGATGCAGCACTGTAAGCTGGCCGCAGCTGCTTCAGTGTGAGTTCAATCCCCAGTCCAGGAGGTGACCCACATGCACAGCAGACCTCTCCTGACCCGCCCACTGCTCCCCTCAGCAGTGTACTTCATCAGTCTGCCTGTTCTGCTCCCCACTCTGTCTCTGGTGAATCTTCTCACCTCCCCTGCACCTCTAGCCTGTACCCCATTGCATATGCATAAATAAATAAATCTTAAAAAACAAAAAGCATGTGATTCAAGAGGAAGTCACCAGTGGAAAAATGTTACAATGAACAAATTTCATTTTATTTACTCTTATTCTCTCATTACTACTTCTGAACTCTGCAAGCTAATCTCTATGAAGCCCTAAAGCAACCATTATTCACTATATAGAGTGAACAAGGATTATGGTCACATTCCTCAGCCCCACCCCAGACCTTGACTGTCTTTTGTAGAGCTGCATCTTAGCAGGAACCTGAGTTGATTGTTGTGCTCATTAGAATCTGAAAACTCTTGATATACTGATTAAGTCAAGCACAACATATAATTATGTTACTTACAGGAGACTAGCAAATGAAATAGGTAAATTTTTTCCAGTCGATTTTCTCCATTTCAGTTCCAAAATTCTCAGCAATATTCTCATTTTATATTTGACTTTGTGTTCATATTTCTAGGAATAAAGCCTCTCCTCACTCAGTCCACATTTAACCTGAACAGAAGACAGTGACAAGCTTCAGGATGCTTTAGAATCAAATCCTGCCTGACTTGTCCCTGACTATATGATCAAAGATACAAAGATTCACCTCTGAGCCTTACTTATTTGTTAAAAATAAAGTGGGAGGTGGAGTGGAGTGTGAGGGGCAGGGGAAAGCTGCCTATTGAATGATATTTAAAGTATTAAAATGAGGATAATGTAGGTGAATACTTATGTAGTAAACAACCAATAAATATTGGTTTAGGCATATATGTGGAGTTTTTTTGTTTTTGCTGAGGGATTGAGAATTTTTTTATTTTGTTTTTTTCGGTATAGAATATGACAAATGCTCCAGTTCTTTTCTTTGATTCTCCATGAATTCCTGAGTAATTTAATAACCATTCTGCAAACTAGCAAAACTCATCACTTACTTGATCCAGATACATGCCAGTCTTTACATTCTCTGATGGAAATGTCATTATCTAAGCTTATCTTAATTCTTCCACTATGGGCTTTGTTGTCAAATGTTATCTGTGAAGAAGAGGGAAGAAGTCAAGACCATACCCATAGTTTCTGAAGTCATGATCCATTTGTGCATTAATTAGGAAACAATTCTTTCTTTGTGCATTAATTAGGAAACAATTCTTTCAAAATGACAGGAGTCCCAGATACTCATTCCTAATCTATTGCTCTTTTCAATCTTGGGAATCCCTTATTTCTCTGTGAACTTAAACTGTTAAACTAGATGTTCTATTGAGAAATTCTAGTCTCGAAGGTCCCGTTTCTAGGAGAGTATATAGGCTCTGGACAACTTTGAAAACAAGAATCCAGACCCTCCCTGGTGGTGCAGCAGGTTAAAGCACAGCAAGCACTATGAAGCTCTCCAAAGCCGCTGCAACACGAGTTCGATTCCCGACCAGGGAGTTGACCCACATGGCACAGCAGACCTCTCCTGGCCAGCCTGCTGCTTCACTCAGCAGTGTATTTCAGTTTAATCTGCTCCCCAGTATCTCTGGTGAATCCTCTTATCCCCCAAACCTCTGGCCTGTATCCCAGTTCTTAAATGCATAAATAAATGAATCTTTAAAAAAAAAAAAAAAACAATCCCCCCAACCCCCAATTCTAAGTTACTCTAAGTTGCCCTTCTGATATGAATAAGAGCTGATACAACAGGGGCTTTCCCCACCTTCTAGAAGGAACTTAAGGAGAGAATTTTTATGCTACCATAATCTCTACAAACACAGAGTTTCATTATTTCAGTCTTGAGACATTTCAGGTGAAGCTTTTCTGATTTCATTCTAGCCCAGATCTCTTAGTCACTCTATAATGGGATGTATTATAAAGTGGTAACTGAGAATCAACAGCTTACTCTTGCTTCCAGGATAACTATTTCAGCACACCAGGCACCAAGTAGGACAAAGTCATGCCTTTCATAGCCTTTCTGTTTTCCCCCATTCCCTCTACTTTCCCCATATAGGGATTTGGAGAGCAAGGGAAAGGAATTAATATTGGTCTTGTTTGTTTATAATTAGAGCCTTCTCTCCCAAGCCCTAAAGAAAAATATTCTTTCAAAATCTGTCATTTAAGTGAGTCTTAATGAAGTCTCTTCATAGGGATAATCAGATATAACTTCAGATATAAAATTTCAAATAAGTTTAATGAGTCTAATAACTCACATTAGACTATAAGCTTCTTTACTTAATAAGCAACCAGGGGCATTATCAGTGTCTGCCCATCTCCACAGCTGCTGGAGGACCCAGCCCATGGCCTCACACAAGGAAGATGCCCAGTATTATTTCAATGAGTCAGAAATCCATGCCAAGGAGAAAGTATCTTTTAGCCACACAAAAACCCTCAGGATCTTACAATGGTAAGTGCTCATTAAATATCTGTTGAGTAAATAAACTTTGGCTTCATGCCAGTCACATCTCAGTAGGTTAAAAGAAGCTTAATGCTTCAAAGGAGAAAAAAGAATGGATGGAACTAACAACAGATGAAATAAAGTAGAAAAAAATTGAAGACAATGGATAGTAACTACCCAAAATGAGCCCCAGAGGAAAAAAGATGAAACTATGTGCATTAGAGAACTGTGGGACAAATTCAAATGTCCACTGAATTTGAATGTCTTAATAGGGGGAAATAGTAGACAAAACATTTGAAAAAATATTGAGTAAATACCAAACATATTAAAAATGAGAAACCCACAAAACCAAGAGTCTCAGTGAACCCCAGATATCAGAAGCATGAAGAAAACTGCAGCAAGACATATCACAATCATATTGTTAAAGTCAGACATAAAGGGAAAGTTTTTAAAGTAACTGAAGAGGGGAAGATACAGTTTTCCATTCAGAAAAAATAAAGATGAAAGTAACAGCAGATTTCTCACCAGAGCCAATGAGAACTGTAAGAACAACATTTTAAAGTATGGGGAAAAAATAGTCAACTCAAAATTGTATACATGATGACTATCTTTTAAAAAATAAAGATGAAATTATTCTTCAGAGATAGAAAAGCTGAAAGAAATCATTACAGCAGGACTGCACTACAGAAAATGTTCTTTCCCTAGGAAAGAAGAAAAAAGGATACCAGACAGAAACTCAAACACTGAGGAATGAAGACCACTGGAAATGGTAACTACTTGTGCAAATTTAAAGACTTTTTCCATTACTATATAACTGCTTCAAAATATTAATTGACAAAAATGTATTTTATAGTTTGTAACACACATGGAAATAATTTGGATGATAACAATAATAAAAGTTAAGATACAAATGGAAATATATTGTTGTTAGGTTCTTATGCTCTGCATATCATTTTATGGTAGATGGTAATAAGTTAGGTATGTGAACTATCAACCCTAACATAATTCAACAAAAAGTTATAGTTACTAAGTTAATCAATGACATAAAATTGAATCATAAAAATACGCAGTTAATCACACCCAAAATAGCAAAAACAGAGGGAAACCATATTAAAATCACATATATTTTAAATAGTCTAAGGATTTAATAGGTAGAGATTGTAAGGTAGATAAAAAAGCAAGGCTCCACTATATGTTACCTAGTAAGAAACTCATTTTGAATATAAGGCACAAGTAGTTTAACAAAAGGATGTAAAAATATACACCATACTAACACTAATCAAAAGAAAATCTACATTATAAATGCAACTGGGCACACACAATAAGGTTTAATAAACAGTTTTTAAAGGATTAATCAAATATTTTAAAGTTTTAATCAAATATCAACTGTATGCCAAATACTATGGCATGTCCTATGCATGTGTTATATATATGTCAATATGTTAATATATTATATAATATCTAATGTATGTTGATATGTCAATTATATACTATAACGTACACTACATATATGGTATATAGCACATATAAGTTGTATGTTTTAAAAAAAGATTTTTTTATATTTATGCACACAGAACTGGGGTACAAGCCAGAGACAGTGTGGGGAACAGAGCAGACAGGTATACTGAAATACACTGCTGAGGGGAGCAGAGGCTAAGTCAGGAGAGGTCTGCTGCACCATGTGGGTCATCTCCTTGGCCAGGAATCAAACTCATGCTGCAGTGGCGGTGGTAGCTTCATAGTGCTATGCTTTAACCCACTGTGCCACCAGGGAGAGCCCTGTTACATGTTTTTTTTTTTTTTAAGATCTACTTATTTATGCATAAAAGAACTGGGGTATAGACCAGAGGTGTAGAGAGTGAGAAGGTTCACTAGAGACAGAATGAGAAGCAGAACAGGCAGATGTACTGAAATACTCTGCTGAGAGGAGCAGCAGGAGGGTCAGGAGAAGACTGCCATGCCATGTGAGTCACCTCTCTGGCCAGGAATTGAACTTATGCTGCAGCAGCTGCGGATAGCTTTACAGTGCAGTGCTTTAACCCTTTGTGCCACCAGGAGGGTCCTATATATATATGTTTTACACATGTTATATATCATATATAACTATGATATATCATGTTCTATCATGATAACTTTGTTATCTTGGGCACTAATTCTGCCATACAAATGCAAAAGTTGAGGATCAAAACAAGTTACATAAAGTTACATAGTTGTTAACTAGTGAACTGTAATTAAAATCTAGGCTTTTCTAGTTATGGAAACACCTTAAGTGTCCAATGGAAGATGAATGGATTAAGATGAGGTATCATATGGAGCAAGCACATATGCACATATACACACAGGAGCACTCACATAGTGAAATATTACTAGGCATAAAAAGAGATGAGGGCACCCCATGGTGGTGCAGGGGTTAAGGAGAGTGCTTTCCAGCTGTTGCCAGCCACAGCAGCATGATTCGATTCCAGGCTGGCCAGGGAGCTGACCCACATGGTGCAGCAACAGACCTCCCCTGTCTTGCCTACTGCTTCCCCACAGCAATGGATTTCAGTATATCTGCCTGTTCTGCTCCCCAATTTGTCTCCAGTAAATCTTCTCACCTCCCACACTTCTGGTCTACACCCCAGTTCTTATGTGCATAAATAAATAAATCTTTAAAAAAAAAAAAAAAAAGAAGAAATGAAATCTTGCCATTTGCAAAAACTTGGTTTGAATTGGAGGCTATTATGCTAAGCAAAAAAAAGTCAGACAACTACCAGATGATTTCACTTACAAATGGAATACAGAGAACTAAAACAAGGAATAGAAAAATTAAACCAAAGTAAACCCTAGAAATCTAATTGTGACTACCAGACAGGGAAGAAGAGAATATAGAGGGAGGGGCCCAGTGGACTATGGTAGAGGATAATGGGTGCTTTGGTGGGATGAGGGTGAGGTAACTATATGTTTGAAGATTGCAAATCTATACCACTTAAGTCATATAAAATGTTGTAAGCTCATGTTATCTCAATAAAAGCAATGTGAAAAAATAAATTAGAAAAATCTAGTGGGGCCTCCCTGGTGGTGCAACAGGTTGAAGCACAATGCTATGAAGCTATCTGCAACCACTGCAGCAGAAGTTCCATCCTTGGCCAGGGAACCTCTCCTTTCCTACCCACTGCTCCCCTCAGCAGTATATTTCTGCCTGTTCTGCTCCCCACTCTCTTTGGTGAATCCTCTCACCCCTTGCACCTCTGACCTATATCCTAGTTCTTATATGCATAAATAAAGAAATCTTTTAAATAAAATAAAAATCTAGGTTTCTCAGGATCTAAAGTCCTGCATGTATGCTGCTCTGGATTATGTTTACATATATAACAATGAAGTTGCTTTGATATTTTTTATATGTAAATTACCTCAGGGTATAATTTTATAATTCTGTGACATGCACTGCCCAACTTTCAATGCAAGCGTAACTTGATATGATTCTACATTAATGACAAAAATGTGACATCTTCAAGTGTCAATAGGTCATCTTGCTTTTCCACTGTATGGAATCATTGGAATAGATCTGGATTTCACAATGTTCCATTTATTCATTCAACAGATTTTTGAGACACCTACTATGTTCTTTGAAGGATGAAAAAGTTAATAAAATGGTGCCTGCCTTCAAGGAGCTTTTAATCTAGTAGAATTGATGATAAACACCTAGAAAATTTGAAGACATGAAGAAGTTGGTAAGTCCATAGCAACTATAAAATCCTAAACAAGGCCCTCCCTGGTGGTGCAGCGGGTTAAAGCACAGCACTGAGAATCTAAAGCCGCTTCCTCTTGAGTTCGATTCCCGCCTGCCCCGGAGGTGACCACATGGCGTGGCAGACCTCTCCTGACCTGCCCGCTGCTCCCCTCAGCAGTGTACTTCGTTGATCTGCCTGTTCTGTTCCCCGCTCTGTCTCTGGTGAAGCCTCTCGCTGCCCCTGAGCCTCTGGCCTGTACCCCAGCTCTGTATGCACAAATAAAATAAAATCTTTAAAAAAAACAAATCCTAAACAAAACATAACCTAGGAGTTCAGAGCACATAATATACTTTCTATACTTTCAAAAAAAGGTTCATAAAGGAGGTGTCAGTTAAGCTAAGCCTTGAAGGTACTCAAAAATTTTGAAAAATAGCATTTCTCAATTTGGAGGGCATGAAAGTAGAAGGAAGGAAGAAGAGCTGGATGAGAATGGCAAATAGCTCAATTAAAAAAAACAAGTAATGTTGTGTATTCATAACTTGCTGAGTAATACTGGGGTCAAAGTGTGTAGTCAAATCAAAACAGTCATAATTTTAGTGGTTTCTCTTGCTAAATCATATGCATAATTATTATATTATACTATATTCTGAGTTTTTAAAAACCACAGTTTCTGAAAGTTTGACTTCTTACAGTAAATTAATTGAATACCATGGACATAGCTTTTGCTACAAATTACGGCTGAAGTAGTAAAATCTGCGTCATAAGGAAGTGAGCTGTGTGGCATACATGCCCACACAACACTAGGTCACTGATCCTGAACTTTGTGTGGTAACAAATCCTCTGAGAGGCATTTGTGTTCTCTAAAGAGCATTAAAGCACTATTTGCAACTAGAATATTGAGAACATAGTAGTGACAAGGTGAGTGGAGACACTACCCAGAGACTTGGAGGCAGAACAAAAAAAAACTGTGAGTAATAGCCAAAAGTCAGCAAACATCCACAGTAAAGAAACTCAGAGAGCCCTTGGCAGTGACCGTAAGCAGCTCTCCATATACAATTTAGTAAGAGCCGGTAAACAGCACCTACCAAATCCTGTTCCTTTTGCATTTGAACACCAACTCTGCCATCAGGTATTGTTCTTGGCACAGGACACATAGTAGTGAACAAAGCAAGATCTTAAGCCTTGCAGAACTTACACTGAAGTGCAAAAAAAAAAAAAAAACAAAAACAGATAATCAATGAGTCAAAAGATTTCTACACCAAAACAGAGCAAGCAGTCCCAAAGCTGCCCTTTTGCTCATTTAAGTGGAAATAACCTGCATATTTGGTCACACTTTAACACAAGTAGATGAAACCTATAACTAGATAAAAACAATTGTTTCCCAAGATCAGAACCAAATTCAGCCCAGCCCCCACTTACAGTCAGAGTAAAGTCGTAACAGTCAGGAAGCTCGTGATGACGAATAGTCTGCAGATTAATGGCCTTCAGTTTAAACTGCAGCTCCACCGTTAGAAGTCTGGAAAACAAAGGAGACTTCAGTGCAGTGAAAACAGATACAAACAAACAAGTTACTCTCCTATCTGCTTCCCTCACCTGTGAAAGTCCAGTGTTAAGTTGAGTTTATTTTCTCCTAATGTTCCTATGTGGAAATGTTCCTCTGGCTCTACAAAAAAACATTCTGCCACAGAAAGAAACAAAATATATGTTAGCACCTAAGACAAGTAAACTACATCTAGAAAGGATAATATATTTAAGAGTAGCTATTCACATTCTAGTATTTTTCTTAGTCAAGATTTTAAAAGTTAATCAGTATCACTTGATTATGATGACAGTTGTTTTCAAGACATAAGTTTCTGAAATTTCTGAAGTAGGTAGAAGATAGACAAAGATCTGAACACTAGCTCCCTAGTGTGCAATAAAATGATCTCTTTCTTTTTGCATTTTTAAGTCTAAACAATGAGTCCAAGCTTTTTGTACTGTAAGTATAGGTTCAAAGCACTTGTAGTGCCTACGTCAAGGTTATCTAAGTTTACAGGCTTTTTTTTTTTAAGATTTATTTATTTATGCATACAGAACTGGACTGGGGTACAGGCCAGAGGTGCAGAGGTGGTGAGAGGATTCACCAGAGACAGAGAGGGGAGCAAAACAGGCAGATCAACAAAATACACTGCTGAGGGGAGCAGCTGGCGAGACGAGAGGTCTCTATGCCATGTGGTCACCTCCCGGGCCTGGGATCAAACTTGCACTGAAGCAGCTGCAGCTGGCTTGCAGTGCTGTATCCTAACCCATTGCACCAACAGGGAGGGCCTCTGTTGTTTTTATTTAGAATGTGCTGACAACTTTTCCTTAATAAGCATCTTATAAAGGAAAGAATTTTAGAAGATCTTAACTAATCAAAACTCTACTATCTTTCTTTAAAAAGTAAGAAAAATGGCCCAGTGACTGTTGCTAAAAGTTTTTGAACACTTATTTTTTACTTCAACGAACTAAGCTAATCTTTTAGATACAGATTGCAAATAGAACTTTGCTAATAAGAATAAACTGTGTTATTCCAACTTCTGGTTCTCATCCCTCCCCCCAATACACTGTCCCCCAAAGATACTGAACAGTTAAGTGCTGTTGGGGGGAGGGGCTTTAGACATCAACAATTTGCAGGCATAATACTTTGTAAAGATAATATCTGTGTATTTAATTGGCTTACCCAGCCTGAGACACAATAGAATACAGTGAATAAGAGCACAGATACACTGGGTCAAATTTAAACACTGTCTCTTATCAGTTCTGAACCAAATAGGTCACTTATCTCTCTGAGCCATACATTCATCTTCCATAAAATAATAATATCAAATTCTGTAGTGTGAATGTGTGTACATGCACATAGGTGCATGCTTGAGTTAGTAAATGGCTTAGAACAGTACCTGACACATAATAAATTCTATGTGGCTCTTACTATAACCTACTAGACCGAACTAAGTCAATGTCTTCAGAACTGAAATGACTAGTTTTAAATATAAATCAAGGAGTTAAAATGAAAGTTCTAGCTTTAGAAGAACATCACCAGTTTCAATATCTGGATCAATGTCAAAGGTGTCATTCCCAGGACAGATGTTTCCTTGCTTGTAGAAGCGCTGACAGATGGTCATAGCAGATTGCTCCTCGCCCTTGTTTTCATAAGCATGATTCCCAACTGAGATGTTGCGTAGCTGCAAGTACTTCAACCAAGGAGAGAAACAGAAAATATGCACACCAGCCAGGGCAGACATGAAGCCATGATTCCCCTCCCTCCCTGCCTTAGTAACTAGTAAGTTCTCTCCCCCTGTGTGGAGACATTCATATTAATATACTGACTATGTGGAACACCAGGAGGATGGGGGCTAAGGGCACTAGTGAATGAATAGGAGTTCTTAGCTCTAGTTTTACTTCAGCGACCTTAGGCAAGTCACAGACTTGCAGAACTTCTGTCTTATTCCCTACTTGAAAAATAAAAGGCCTAAATCATATAATCCTTGGGAGTCTTTCCTCTGTTCAAGAACTATGCTCAGTAACTGATTTTTACATTCAGTGTAAATTTTATTTGTGTGTGGGTGCACATGCAGGAGAACTGGGGTGTAGGCCAGAGATACAGGGAATAAGAGGACTTACCAGAGACAGAGTGAGGAGCAGAACAGGCAGATTTACTGAAAAACAGTACGAAGAGGAGCAGTGGGCCGGACAGAGAGGTCTGTTGTGCCATATGGGGGTTAACTTCCTGACTGGGGATTGAACTCAGGCCATACAGGTGACAGCGCTAAGACTTAATACCTAGACCACCAGGGAGGCCCCTTTGTTATGACTGAACTACTGCCTGTAAAGTCATAGTCCTACTTTACTACTGTAACAAAGGAAGTGGAATATAATTGTTTCAGGCTAGTCAAGAAGATTTTTCTAAAAAACTATGTTTTATCTTATTTTTTGTAAAACTACAGTTTAGTCACTATTATAGCAATATTCCCTTTTCCTACTGAATCCTCTAAGATATAATAAAATGTTACTTTTACAAATGAATCTGTAGTATCTTGAAGTAACTGTCAATTTGAAAGCAATGGGTATCTGCAGGCAGAAAACACAGAGTTGACCGAACCATGTGATTTAGTAACTGATTCTTACATTCAGTGTAAATTTTATTTTAATTTGTGTGTGTGTGTGTATGTAGGAGAACTGGGGTGTAGGCCAGAGGTACAGGGGATAAGAGGACTTATCAGAGACAGAGTGATATTAAAGATCTTTGGTGATACAAAGATAAGGATGTGGTATCTATGTCTTGGATTAAATAATTTAGTGGGATGGATTCATAAATAATTCTATTAAAAGCTACATGTGAAACACACGATGATAAATGAAGGAAACCATTTAGAATCTGGGTCTGTGGGGCAGATACTGAGCTCAGCTTTTTTAGTTCATTGGAGAATGAGCCTCCTGTTCCAGATCTGACACTTGGTTCTCTCTCCTTGTTTAACTTAATTTCTCCATGGTGTTTGAACCCTCTGAGAGCTTTCCCCTTTATGTGATACCTTCTTGACTTCTGAGATACAGTCTGCTCCTTCTCAGTTTCCTTTGCTAAGTCCTCTTTTCATCAACTTCTAAATCTTCAAATACCCTAGGATTCAAGCTAGGGCCTCTTTATTTATACTTTCTCCAGAAATGATATCTGGTTCTCAGATATCATGTTTTAAACACCATCTACACGTTGACAACTTCCAAATTTTCATTTCCTGACCTCAGCACTGAATTCCAAACATAGGTAACAATCTGTCTACATGACACCATGGAATCCAAAAAAAATCTTAAACATAATTAAACATAGAGAGAAGCCACTTCATTTACAATAATTCCCCTCTCAGTAAACAACTCTGTAAGCCAATCAGTTATTCAGGTCAAAACCTAGGAATGACCATTTACTCTCCCTCTTTCATAGTCCACTTTCAGTCCAACTAGAAATCACACATTACACTCCAATATTCCCAGTCTGACGACATCTCATGATCTTCACTGCTACTGCCCTCAGCCACACCCCCTGCTGAATCCTTTTTCATCAACTTCTACATCTTCAAATGCCCTAGGGTTCAGTGTAGGAGTTCTATAATTTCAGCTCCATAAATGACATCTGGGTCTCAGGCCCATGTTTTAAACACCATATACATGCTGACAACTTCCAAATTTGAATCTCCTGGCCTCTCACCTGGACAAATTAAACCTGTGAAATAGTCTTCCTGCTTCCAACCTGGCCTCTCACCGCATCTTGTCTCCTTATAGAATTATAGGACGGTTACATTCATTCCAGTTTTGTCCAGCTATCAGTTTTGGTACCCTGTGTGGCATTAGTTGTGGCTTCCTACAGCTTGTCCTGACTCCAGTTTTGTTACAGTCTAACAAAACCTTGAAGGAATGGGCAACTTTCTAGAACACTATAGTTGACCAATACTAAACCAAGAAGAAACAGAGGTGTGAGTAAAGGTTCACAATCATGCAAATTGAAACTAACCAAATGCTTAACGCTAACATGCTAACAGAAAGCCTCGGTACCATACATTCAGATTTTATCCTAGTAGTTTACCATCTTACAGCACATAGATGACCTCTAAATAATAAAGAGGCAGGATTGCAGAATACAAATATTTTGAGGAAGAGTTATAATTCTGAAATGCAGTGTGCTAACAAGTTCATTTTGGATATAATTGACTTCAAGAACACTTTCAATGACACCTATGAAATAAGATATTTAGGATCTTCAAAAGGCACTATTGATAGAAAAAATAAATTGATTAGACCCAGAATAGGGGCCCTCTCTGGTGGTGCAAGGGGTTAAAGCGTAGCACTATGAAGCTATGCGCAGCCATTGCAGCACAGAGTTTGATCCCCAGCCAGGGAGCCGACCTAGATGGCTGGCAGACCTCTCGGGACCTCTGTTCCCCTCAGCAGTGTATTTCAGTACATCTGCTTGTTCTGCTCCCCACTCTGTCTCTGGTGAATCCTCTCACCACCACCAACACCTCCCCTCACCCTCTGTACCTCTGGCCTGTACCCCAGTCTTGTATACATAAATAAATAGATCTTTTTTAAAAAAATTAAGAAACTCAGACTAGGAATTTTACTGATCAGAAACAAGCTTACTATTTTTTGTGCTGTTGGTGGGTATTACAATACAGTCATTGTCATAGATCACATAAAGGCCTTACTTATTTTTAAATGAACTGTAAGGTCTTGGTTGCTATACTCTGTAAAATCATCACATGACTCTGCAAAGTTAATAACTTCATTATTTGCTAAGAAGACCCCAAAATATTTATTAAACCTAGAAGACTTAATGACTACTCACAACCAAGGTTATGGGCTAATTATTTTAAATCTTTAAGGTTCCCGTGCCAAACCCTAACTCCAGTTCTTAGTTAAGACTTTGAAGTTTGTCCCTATTACAAAACAAAACCTTTTTTCTGACTTCTCATTTTTTGACAATATTTTAAAATAACAATTTTAAAGTGATTTCACACATGGAATTTCATATATCTATATATTTTATATAGCTTATAAGCTTTATACATTATACATGTCATTACATTAATGTTTGTCCTACATTTGAATGTCATTTTCTATCAAGCACAGTGCTACAATTCTTCACTCTGTTCTTTCCTTCAAATAAGGAATATGCATGTTTGATTTACCTGGTTCACTGCAAAAATGATCTGATCATATACATCCCTTTGTGTATACACTGCATATGTATCATCCATTCGGTCCATATATCCTTTTAAGAAGAGGTGCTTGAATGCTATTGTGTTCTCTTCCTTGAAAGCTACCACCATCTGGTTACTTAGCCCAAAGAAGACCAACTTGAAAAAAGAAAAGAAAGAAGAAAAAGTCAGCAAACGAAATGAGTACAAAAAGGTTCCGAAGACTTCATTTCTTTCAAGCCACTACAAGTGTATAGTGAGAAATGTGAACTCATCTAACAGACTAAATCCAAGTATTATCATTCTGCCACATTATAAACATAATCCAGGATGTGATTGGGAAACAGAGAAGAGCTGGATCATCCCCATGCTGACTCTCGTTGTGAAGTATACCCTGCACTGCATACATCACCACTCTCCACCTAGCTCAACCCCCACTTCTGAATTGTCTCTTTAATCTAAATGTCCTACTTAACATCTCAATAAGATGATAGCTTGGTATTCCAGATATTATCTCTGTTGAAATTGATGATCAGAAAACTCCAGAGAATTTCCAAAGATGTTCTTGCCAATTGATTCCAATACACGAATAACTCCCACATGCCAGTACTGAGCTAGGTACTGAGGATACAATGAAAAGATAATGGTCCCTTGTCTCAAGGACCCAGTTGCAGACAGAAGTACAGTGGCGGAAAGGGAACTGCTATACTTCAGAGACAGAGCCAGTAGTGGGAGAAGGGAAACTTTTATTAGGGTGCTTATCATTACAGGCAACTTTTATTTTTGCTGATGCAGACACAACATCTCCAGCTTTATAGAAAGACCACCTTCTTTTTCCATCAGTAAGTCTTATTTACTCAACTGAAAGTTTCTTTATGTAATACTTGCTTGACTGCTCAGATATAGGAAACATAATACTTAAGAATCCCTCAATTCCTTTAAAAAAAAAAAGAAATATACCCATATGCTCAGCATTGTTAGGCTTACTATCTTAAAGTATTGATCAACTGCCTTTTGACCACCCTAGAAAACACAGGAAGGTTGGAGCTCCCTAAAAGACTTAGGAGTAATCAAAACATAAGTCTTAAGAGGGAATGAAATCTGAGTTTGAATTGAAGTTCTACTCTTCCAGTTTTCTGATGATGACCAGTTATTTTATTAAGTCTCAATGTTCTCATCTGTGAATTACATATGCAAAACAACAGATTTGTTTTAAGAATTGACATGACAATGTCTATAAAATGTTTAGTTCAAAACATAACAAGTATTCAAGTGGTACCTATCAGTTTAAGTAAACGAGAGTCATATTCAACTGACAACATCTCCCCACGCCCACTTATAAGAAACAACATAGGTAAATATTTCATTATTGTTATGTACTGTATTATTACTTGGAAGTTAGAATTTTCAATTTTATGTTGCCAAATATTTTACTGAGAATTGAACATTCATTTTTATGGTGATACATTGCAAAGCTCTGTCTCTGAAGTCTTGATTCAGCCACTGAATTATGTAGTAGTTTTTATAAAAACTCTGTAAATATCAATTTTCTTCCCTGTAAAGTGAAGAATGTCAGTAGTTATTCACTAGGATGGTTCTTGGAATTCAGTGAAATAATATCCTGAAACAGAATAGTCACTCAAATATGACTTTCCTTACAAAACACCTTGTATCAGAAACTTAGCCAAGAATTCTATCAACTACATGTAATTACAGAAATCACCGCAGCATCTAACAATCTTAAATATGCTTGCAATAATTAGTGATTTCAGTTTTAAAAGACATTTCTACTTAGACACCAATGTATATTTACTTATGCCATTTTCCCCAAATTATAAGTGATAATAAAAATCATATCACAACTATTTTTCCCATTAAAGTTCACTTTTATTTTTGCCCTTTTTCTTTTAACAAGAGATAATTACTTTCACCAGCATAAAAATACATCCTCATCAAGTAAATCACAATCTATATATACAAAAAAAATCACCAAATATGATTTCCCCCAAAAAAATTTAAGTCAAGGACAGCAAAATCAAAGTCTCTTAAAATGAAGGCTCATATTTCACTATTGTGTCACACTTTTCTCAATAGCTCCACACTCTTCTACTGCAATTTTCCCATGATCACTGGGCTGTGAGAATCCAAGTATTTGCCTTAACAGAAAGCTTTGAAGTTTACAAAGAAAAAATTCCCAGGAAACCAACTAAGAAGGAGAAGAATCCTCTGGTTGTGCAATGTCTAATTTCCATGGCCAATTTAGAAACCTTTAGCTAAAACTCTTGATTGGAAGTCAAACATTAAATTTTTTTTCCTGGAAACTAATTAGGATTATGTGACTAAAATGATTTAATGAGAGATGAGAAGAAAAACATAAGAAAATAAAAACCCCAAGAGGGAAGGGTTTAAGAACTCCTTATTTAGGAGTTCATCATACATGAGGTTAAAAGAGACTTTCACCAAACTTGTGATCTAAGACTCTTACCTGGATAGTCACCATTGCAATTTTCAGAATCTGTATGGCAAGTTTCCATGGTTTTCTACCTCGAGCCCAAAACTTCTCACAAGGATTCATGAAAAAAAATTTCAGTTTCCGCCTCATCTGGTCTTCTAGTAGAAGCTCCTCAGAAGGAGATGTGTGCTGGCTAAAAGTACAGCGATTTTCATCTTCAAGAGCACTGCAACTACTTATTACTACCTCAGGACTTGCCATCTCTACGGGAAAGAAAGAAACTGTTTTCATTCTGCAAATAAAGGTACCAGCCTATATTTGCTGTTACAAGATAGTTAAAGAGAGACAACAAATTGAATTTCAAATAAGCACCATTGATCTAAACTGTACTTCAGATGTTTTTCTATTTGTTTCAGTTACTAAGAGAATTTTCACTCCACGGAAAGTTAGCAAATACCAGGGCTGCTCCTATTAGTAATTATTAAGATAATATGTGCGTTCTAAGTATTGAGTATTATGTAAATGTATACACTGATAGTATATAATGCTATATATGGCACTTCTAAGACCTTAGGCAAGTCACTCAGTCAGTCTCTCTGAGTCTCCGTTTTCTAGTATGCAAAATGAAAATAACAATGCCTACTCTCCTATGATTCTAGTGACCATTAAATTAAAATGCATATATAGCTCTTCATAGAGTCTAGCACTAACCACACAGCCCCACTTACTTACCACCCCAGCAGACAGATCAGCTTCTTAAATAACCAAGTTTCTTAGGAAGCAACAAGAGCCCAGGAAAACCTACAGTTCTACAAAGTGCCTGCAGGGCTCAGTTTAGTCCCAATCCCAATCAGCCACGTCTTCTCTATTTGCTTTTTACTGAAGGCGCTTTTATGTAGCATACTTTACACCTCCTTTGTCCCTTTGAAAATAAGGGGGCATTTCCATTGAATGAGACAAAGAAGTCAATTCAGAATCTCAGACCTATCTTGGATTTTCCCTCAAATCAATATTGATATTATGGAGATCTTTTCAAAATAAAATACCTTAAGCTATCAGAGAGAGTGGAGTCCATCTACATAGGATAAAAAATCTGGCTCTGATATATTTATAATTCCTACTAGGAGATTAAAGTGGGAAGGGCAGGACTCAAACTACAGTTATACCATACCTGACAAGTCATGGTTGAGCACACTGCTTTCCAAGTTTAGAATCCAAAATTTTGTTCTGATTCAAGCATTCTTAGCAAACTCAGCAACTCTAAGCAGTACATGTTGGTTATGAAAACTTTCCAGAGGAGGTTTTTTAAAACTCTTGATTAGCAGAAAGATCAATAAAAATATGGCTGAACATAAAACATATATGCAATGCCCTCAAAATGAAATTATGATTGGTCTCATTCTAGTGTGGCTTATGTGTGTAAAAATGCTCATCAAAGTATGAGTACAGTAACTCCTTAGGTAAAGACATAAGGGAGAGTAGTTATTGATACCATAGAAATTTCACTCAAGAATATAGTTCTTCAAAAAGAGTTTTTAAATAGGTTTTACCTATGAAATTTAAAACAAAGGTGATGTTATATTAATCAAAACTGACAAATGCACAAAGGTAATATTGCAGCTGTTAAAAATGAAGCATGTTGGTGAATTACAGATACAAGGCCATTAAACTCTTCCTATTTGGTATAGGGAAAATTAAACTTTAAACAAGCTAGCCACACACTGTAACACTAACCCACAGGAACAGAGAAAATGAGCCACCACCATGAATGTAGTTAGCACACAGCACCAAATGGTCTCCAAAACAAGACTTTCATTCAGAAATGGCTGCAAATGTTTGCATTATTGTGTCACAAAAGCCCTTCCAGTGTGCACACTGCAAATTTTGGGCTCTCCCTGCTGGCACAACAGGTTAAAGCACCACATTAAGAAGCTCTCCAAAGGCACTGCAGCACAAGTTCGATTCCCAGAGAGGGAGCTGACCCACATGGCATGGCAGACCTCTCCTGACCCCGCCTGCTGCTCCCCTCAGCAGTGTATTTCAGCAGATCTCCCTGTTCTGTTCCCCACTCTCTCTCTGGTGAATCTTCTTACCCACCACACCTCTCACCTGTATCCCAGTTCTGTAAGCATAAATAAATAAATCTTTAAAAAAATAATAAAAACTGGAAATTTTGTTCCAGTAAAATATATAATTATTCCTCACATAAAATTCAAAGAGCATTACAGTTTAAGAAGAGGAAATTTGACCAACAATTTGGGTTTTGTTCTAATATGGAGGAACATTCTTGGACTGTGCAAAAAGCAACAAACTACTAGCCATTATCAGACAAAAGAAGGATAAAATTAATTTTAACTGTATTTTAGAATTATTGAAAGATAGGGCCAGTAAAAATTACTTAAGAAGAAAAAAAGACCTGTCCAGACACCTAGGCACAGAAGGACCACTGGCCAACAATCCTTCATACCCATCCAGGAGCGAGCATTACTCTGGATGTGGGGTGGGTGGAGACTCAGGTCAGGAAAGACTCTGGGGTGTTAGTCTCATTCTTAGCACCTACAAACTAACACAGAGGTTGTTTATTCACGTCTATCATTAGTTTAATTGGCTCAAGCGATAGAAAATTAGAGGTATGTACATGTAAGTAAAAGCCTCATAGCTGACTTCAGATTAAAATGACCTCCTTTCTTCCGGAAGCCTCCACCGGACACAAACCTTCTGTCTCATATTCTGTTTTCTAATTTTCTTTCCATGTTTTTTTTTGGGGGGGTGGCGTGGGGAGGGGGCCTACTTGGGTTTTTTGGTAGGCAAGCTCTCAAACCGACATTATCAGGCTGGTTATTTTGTCGCGGGCCTGCAGTAGCACCAGGCCAATGCCTGGAGACCTCCTTAGACCCCAGCTTCAGCTCTTACTCCATCTGCCCCACTACACCTTTAGTAAAAGGTCAGTAGCGTCTGGAGAGGCTGTTTGTGCAACTTCAAGACCATCTTGAGCCCGAAACCGCTCAGATTGGCTGCATCCTCCCTAGGTTTTCCTGAACTAGGCTCTGGACAGCAGATGGCAATTGCTCTTGGCGTCCCTACTGGAAGCTAAGCTGGGGGGGCTTGGGGTCGACCGCCTGGGCTACGGCTGCTTGGGAGAACCACCCAGCCTCAGCAGCTACGGCCGGGACTCACTCCAACTTTGGGGCGCGCGGACCTCCCCACTCACAACTCCCTCCAGACTGCCGGAGCCCCCGGACGGCGAGCACCACCACTGACCTTGAGAGGACTGCCGAGCAGGCGTTGTGCCAAACTTCTGCAGCTCGCACCCTGATCCCACCTGAGCCCTTTCCATGGCGTCAACCCTCCCGCACCGGGTCACCGACGGCTGGTGACATCCCTGCCCCTCCCTGAGCGCCGCGGGCGCTCCCACAACACCTGACTCCTCCGGGCGGCGCGGAGCTCCGCTCACCTGTTAGTTGGGGCGCGGGGTGGGGAGCCGGTGAAAGCAAGCTGGGGCGACCCGTGGAAGCAATGGAGTCCGGAGGTCTCAAGTCTTCTCCGCCGAAGGTGGACGCCGCATGTCTGTTGTAGCTCTGGAAATATCTCAAGTTCAGTTCAGGGCAGTCCAACCAGCTCCCGGCGGTGGCGAGTCGCCGCCCAAGACACCCTCCCTCCTCTCAGTGTTTTAACTCGTGATCCTCCTCCCAGAGAAGCATCTCCCTTACACACTGTTTCTCCTCCACCTTTCAGGGGAACACGTGAAGCGAAGGAGGTCGTCTGAATGAGCCAGTTGCTGTCCCCACCCTCTGAATGCCTTCCCCGACCCCTTCGCGTTCCCACAACCCAGGCGCGCAAGCCTAGTCGGGGTTCTGCAGATCGGCTCTGGAGCCCAGGTGCAAATGCTTGGCCTCCAGGATTTAGATGCGCGAAAGCCGGGTCTCCTCCTGGTGGATTTGGGGCTCTCAGGTTGTGGAAGGTGAACGCTAAGTGCTGGGTTGCGTGTGCTTACACAGTCTCCCACCAGCAGGTGTAAGAACTCTCTTGCTTTCCGTTTTCTGATAATTGCTATGAAATTAGTGGACTGTTGCCCAGACTTCTCTAGCCTGGGAGCTGGGACCCAAAGAGCGCTGCAAAACTCTTACAAGAAATGTGAAATATTTGAAGTAGTGACAAAGATTCTTTGCTTGGCAAGCTTTAGTCCGGTTCCTAAACCTCCGTGATCTTCCTTATAAAATCCCGTTTTAGTCATAACCCTAAATCAGTTTAACCAGAACCTAACCATAGGGATGATTAATCTGACCCTTCCTCAATTAGGTTTCTCCTTCCCCATCACACCCAGGTTATTTTGCCCTGTCCTGTTTTCAGCTAGAATCTTACAAGGTGGGTTTTAGCCTGAACCACCTACTCCTGCTATTTTCTCTTAGTAATTTTTCATCCACAGTCCAGGGTTTTAAATTCCCACTTATGGGTGTTGCATTTGAAGTTAAGCCTCATAGCTCCCCCAGTGTAAAGTTCCATTAACTACCTGGATAGTCCTACAAAAGGTCTATATTATCATATTGAACAAATATCATTGAACTGTTTTTAAAGAGTAGATTTCCAGCAGTAAGCTCTTTCTTCATCATTTTTGTTTTAATTAACATTCCTAACATTCCTTATCAGGGTGGGTCAGGAACTTTGCTTTTTATTACAACCACTTTTGATTGTTTTGATTTTCTTTTTTAATTTTTGGCCACAGTTGGGACCTCCCGGTGGCGCAGTGGGTTAAAGCACAGCACTAAGAAGCTAAAGCTACTTCAGCATGAGTTTGATCCCCAATCCCGGAGGTGATCCACATGGCATTGCAGACCTCTCCTGTCCTGCCCGCTACTCCTC